GTGAAGCTGCATGAGTGGAGGGTGTTGAATCTGTGATTATAGTAGTTTTCTCAGGTTTGTTTATCTCAATGTTCAATGCACTGTGTTTTATAAATAGTTATTAAAGTTGAGTAATATTCAATTCTATGCAGTGTTCTGTCATTGGCCCTTTGTGAATGTGCATGTTTTAAACTGCAAATTTTAAACATTTTGTCCTCTAATTGTTATTAAAAATAAAATAAACTTTACTGTTACATAAAGAAAATTGTTGAAGTTGTAATTGCTAGTTTTAGAAACTATATTGCTTTATAAAATCTTCAAATCCACATGACATATAATCTGAGGTCTATCTATTTAATAGCATTAACATATCTTGTTTAAAACCCCAGCGATATATAAAATACCCCTTCATTTTTATCCAGCTAAAGGAATCATGAAGTGGAATATATTAACTCTAGTAAGAGGGATAGTTTTGATAATTAAGTACTAAAAAAGAATTTTTTAAATAAAAAAAAACCCATATTTTTATTCTTCAGTCAAAAAGCCATCCAGGATTGTCCCCATTACGTACTTAAATCAGCCTGCAAATCAGCGGCTAATTCATCTTTTTAGGTAGATTGAATTTCTTAGGTTTTTTTTTTTCTTTTTAACCCACCAAATTTTTTTAAGTGTCCAAGTTTAGCCAATAACATTTGCAGGAAGTAATCAGAAAATAATAAAATTGCCATGTGAAACAAAAGTACAGGAAACATCAGAAACAAGGACAATAGGTTTATCAAAAATTAGCATCATTGGGTAAAAGAGGAACAACTGAAGCTGTAATCTGGTAAACTGCTAGAATAAGATTAGTTCACAGAGAGGCACCGAGGAAGCAGTCGGAGGAGCCTCTGGTTTTAGTAGAGTGAGGTAGCATGTGCTTAGCTGTCTGAGGCCCTGTGTCCTTTCCCAGTCTTCCCTTTCCCCCAAGGAAAACCACACTAAAACAATGTACAAAAAAGTTACCAGTGAATTATACCAAATGATTTTCACATTCAACTTTATTCCTCTCAAAATAAGCACTGTGTCTATACTGACCTTGTAGTTTAAGATACCTTCTAATACTACCACAAGAAAACAGCAAACTTGAAATATATTCCCATAAATTCAATCCATCTTCCTCATTTAAAGTTTGTTTTTGTATGCTTATGCATCTCTAATCTAAAGCCATCATTTCAGTAACACAGAGCCACTCATTTTAATGATGAGAGATCTTCCTAACCTGGACTTTTCACTAGTAGGCTAATAAAAATTGTTGGAAAATAAACATATTACCATTCAGTTTTTATTTTGAGTATAAACTAGGTAGCTAGCAATTCAAATAAGATTTCTCTGTCAGATAATTTCATTAATAGCTAATGTTTAATTGCAATTGTAAAATAGCCATGTATATATAAAAATATGATAACGATTTGTTCCCTTAATAGCTTAATATGCCCCTACATTCTTACTTTTCTTGAACACATAACAAATGAACTTTCTAGGTTATGCAAAGATAAACTAATCCCAACCCAATGAAATGTCTCAAATTCCTAATTGCGATTGTATATATTTTCAGGAAACTTTTTTGTTGTCTTATTTTAGACAAAATTTCCTATGGATTTAAGCCAATCTGGCAAATTCTCCACCAGGAGAAGGAACTAATAATAACATCAATAAAGAGTAGAGAGATGGTGAAATAAGAGGAACAATTAATTTGAACAATTGAAAATACAATCTGTTGGCTTTGAAATGAATAACCATGTTAAAGCAAATTTACTATATTCAATGTGGTTTTCTAAATCAGATGATGAATTCACAGGCCATGAGTACCCAGAAGGGTGCTATGTCTCAGGCAATAACGGGAAGTAGGCCAGGTAGCAGAGGAGGCCATGGATCATCCCAGACTAACTCTGTCAAACCATCACACCATTAATTCTGTTCCCTGACTCCAACCAACAGTTACATCTGCCCTCTCACAGTACTTAGCCTTTCGTTTTTATTCTAGGGTATTTCATCTGCTTTCTGTTTGTCATTAACTTACTACACAGCTCCCTCCCCACTGGAATGCAAGTGATTTAAGATAGTGACTCTAACTTCCTATTTCTCATGACAATCCTAAGCAGTAAAGAGCCATGAATATCTCCATTTCACAAATGAGAAAACTGAGACACAGCAAAGTCAAGTAAGTAGCCAAAAGTCACTCAGCTATAAGCAACAGCCTTAAAACTAACCCAGACACTGCGACTCCAAATCCATGCTAAATTGCCTTTTGGTCTCTCATGTGTAAAGAGAGAGAGGTTTGTCATCTCGTATTTCTGTTTGTGCTTTATATTACTCTCTGTTCTCATAATGTAGCACAAACTCTACTTGCTGTTATAATCCCCTCTATCTATGGGATATGCACAATAGTACACAATCTCTTTTCCCCCAATAGAATTTCTGAAAAATAGGTTGGGTATTTTTCCTGAGAAAATTAGGCCTTCTAGGTATGTCATAAAGAATGTATATAGAGTTTCAAAGCAGACCTGGGGTCAAATCTTGGCTCTGCTATTATTGTCTGGCCCTGGACACAGTGTTTAACCTTTCTGATTTAGTTTCTTCATTGGCAAGGCAGGCATAGTAGTCCCTGCCTCGAGATTGTGAAGAATAAATGGTACAATTCATAAAGCACTTGGGACACACATGATGCTTGATAAACGTTATGAATTATTTGAATAAATACCTTGCAAAAGCTTTTAGGATGTTAGAACTCAAATTTTTTGTGATAGTAATAAAGTATTAATTAGACAAGTTTCTCTTGTATTTTGGTAATGTGGCAGGTTTATGGTGAACATCTCCTTGGAAATTTTAAATGAAGATGCGATCATCACTTTCCCTCATAAAATCCTTTAAGGCTCCCCCTTGTATTTGGTGTATGTCCAGCCACCATGGTGTTTCAGTCTTTGATCTGACCCTGCTTATCTCTTTACTCTCACTCTTTCTTTGAATTCTTTGTCCAGTTTCCAGAATGTTCCCTATTCTTTCACACTCATGGGTGCTTCTCTGCCTGTGAATTCTTCACTTTGCCTAATTATGCTCTTTCTCTCATTTCCTACACTCTTCTCTCTCTCCCTCCCTGCGCCCTGTCTTCTTCCACTCACATCTAATTCATCTGTCAAGGCTCAGGTCCAATCTCAACCTCTCCAAGATAACTATCCCCTTCATATGTGCTGCCAGGGAACTCTGTATGTACTTCCTCTCTCATTGCAGTCACCATATGAATTCTAAGTGTTGATTTATGGGTTCGTTTTCTCCTACATGACTGTGAGCACCTGGAAAGCAGGAAAGATAATGTGCTTTTATAAAGCACCTATAACTTCTTATCAGAAGTATTTGTTATCATACCTGAGTCCATGGAGTTAGTGGCTCCTTGAATCAGAACTGCATGTTATTCATCTTAGTACTCCCATCCCCTAGCACAGTGCCTAACCCATAGGTGGTATCCAACAAATGCTTGTCGAATAGGACGGTATCTGGAAATCTGCCACAGGATGGACTTTTTACCCTGATATTGTGAATAATAGTATTATCAGCTACATAGCTTCCAGAGGGAAGTTCAAAGATATGCACTATATGTCATTTGATTCAGTGTCATTGAATGCTTTATTTCAGTGAGGTACACAATGTCTCCCTCATTGTAAACAGTTTATAGCCAGTTAATTTGATTGATGAGAGCATGCTGCTAAGGAAGGGAAGGTTGCAGATGTCAGCTTTCAGAATTCCTCAGTATTATTCTGCCTAATAGATACAAACTGCTCCCCAAAAGATGGCAAATAAAAGTACAACCACTAGAGAAACCTGACAAACTAGGTGGTTTTCAGGGGGAGCAGTTCCACCCTCTAGAGGACATAGTGGAATAGTGTGAGTGCGTCTCTGGCATCAATGTTTTGGGGGTGGGGCAGGTGTGCTATGAGCATTCATTGGAGAGATGCTACAATACATGGGACAGTCCACACAATAAGACTTAATGTCCATCAGCACGGCTTTAGAATGTCCCACATTCCTTTTCGGGGAAAAACCTAATCCCATTTTTCTGATAAAGTGTTTTTTGTGCTGCCTTAGTGTACACTGAGTTTTCCAGATAGCTAACTATTTGCACATCAAAGGAAGATCAAACTTTGCTTTGTTTGGAAAAATCACATTAACAGCAGCAGTGTATCTGTGGTGTTCAGTTTGCCAGTCTAGCAAACCTGCATCGATCCGGATTTGGAGCTGTCATATTTCAGTGCTTCTAAGAGATTTGCATCTGAATCCTTTGTTTAGTCTGCCCAAGCCATTGCATTTTGAAATAAATTCCTTTCCTTTTCTTTCTCCTTTTCTATTTACCATTAGGGCATTATATTGATTTCTATTTACCATTAGGGCATTATAATTTTTTTTAAATTATACGTACAATGAGCAATACTATCTATGAATTGTATTTTAGGACAGTTAAAGGGATGTCACAAAATAATTATTCTAAGGAGAGCTCACTGGGTACAACAGAGTTAACAATCATGCCTCAGAGAGAGGGGCTGGGCCTCACGCTTTAATCTCCAGTGGATTTCATGCACAAGGCTTCAAAACCTCAGTGCAGGTGTTCCCTCGATGTTTAAATCTGGTTTGGCACACATCTCCAGTACTGACTGCCTGTGGGATCTTGGGCAAGTTACTTCATGTTTCTGTGCCTCAGTTTCCAAATCTGTAAAATAGAAATTTTAATAACTCCCTGTTGTGTTTTTTTGGAGGACAAAATGAGTTCGTATATGTAAATATTTACAATAGTGTTTGGTTCATAAGAGCCCAGTAAAGATTAACTTAGGAATACGAAAGAAACTGTATCCAACAAACATGAATAAAGCCAGTCTAACGACATAGGGATGTGTTCCAGAGCTTGTTCACAAATGTCTATCCTTTATGTTCAGCTTTTTCTCCCTTCCTCCCTCCTTCCTTCCCTCCTCTCCTTTCTTTCTTCCTTCCTTTCCTCTCCCTTTCTTTTTTTTTGTTCCTTAATTATCTGGGCTAATTTGGGATACTGGAAGTTGGGCCATTTACATACAGGAGGAAGTAGGAGACTAGACATCCAAGCTCCTCTGCCGTTAGACTGAGCAAAGTCCCAATATATTTGAACTTGTTTCCTCAGCTAGAAAACAAAGAGGCAGGGCCTAAAGACTCTTTTAGGTCAGAATCTTACCTCTAACTAGCTATAATTGAAAAGAGCTATTAAGGGTGACATATCATAGTATGAATTCATATAAACCTGGGTTCCCAAACAACACCCACAGGGGCCAGGTAGGTAACAAAACTGAGGGAGATGTGCCGGGTAGGGGAGACCAAGCAGGAGGCTGGTGAATGTCAAATGTCCTGTCAGAAAAGGACCAGCTGGATCCTATGATGATACAGGACCCTCACTGCCACATCTTCTAGGTGCCATGAGAAGCCAGAAATCCAGAATCTTATGAGAACTATCCCATCATATTTGAGAGTTACATGTAGCCCACAGGCTGATGCCTCTAGAAAAATTTACAACCTTTGCTGCTTTCATCATCCCTGATACACAAAATAGCTTTATAATGTAAGTCAAAATCAGTGTAGGATCTTTTTTCTTTGCATTTCAAAATATGAAATGATAAGTAATTTCCTTTTATTGGATAACAGAGCATTATTAAGAAGATAAAATGAAGTCCTGTGATGTAAAATTTTGAATAGATTTCACAAAAACAAAGTATTTTATTTATTCTAACCCAGCAGGATATATGCCCAAATATGTAGTCATCAGACATGGAATTCAGTGACACTTGAGATATGCAGTATTAGAAGATTATAACCAATAGCTGGACTTTGAATTTCACAATTATTAACATAAAAACTTACAGTGTGACTACTAAATAATTAGTACCGTCAATGTGGTAAATCCATTAAATTACAATCTTTACATTTATACACAACTCATTTTACATGTAAATGTTTTAAGACCCAGCTGAGCAGCATTCATTTAAGCACGAAATATTGCTGAACAAAAAGTCTGCAATAAATATTCCCTCCGATGGGTGGGGAAATGCTTTTACATACAATCCATGTTACAATGAACATCTGAGTAAATATTTAAAACTTTAAATTCGTGGTTATTGAAATCTTGTATTCTAAAAAATCTCTTATATTTTAAACAAAATTTAGTTATTAACTTAAAAGGTAACTTCTGATGATGCTGATATTATTCATGGTTAGGTTGCTCCCAAAGTCATAAATAGGTTTTCACTATCCCCTCAGTTTCCTTAGTAGTTAATTTTTTTAAGCGAACCTTCAATAATTACAATCAGGTACTTTTCTTTGCTTATTTATGTATATATTTGTATTATAACTCACTAAACAAATTAAAATGAAAAAAAAAAAGTAGACTTTCTAAACAGTACAGCCAAATTGTCCAATAAAACATCTTCAGCCAGTTTGCAACTTTAAAGTTGAACAGTTGTATATATGAAAGTAGCATAAATTGAAACGTAATGCTCACCATGTTTTCAAAGCCACAAAACAACTATCTAACATAGCCATTCTGTGATTGCAGCCAGGAACCTTAAGACTAGAAGATATGTTTTCCTAATACTTTCCTCCATGACGTTACTAGGTTCAAGGGAAATTTCCTCAGAAATATTTGTGGCAATGGCAGGAGCACTCTACCTTTTGCCATTATACTACATGCTGGATTTATGGCCGTGGCCTATCAACTGGAACTGAAGTCTGGACAGGTCTTCCCAGGTAGGGGAGGCTCCTGCTGGAGCGGGTAAGCAAAGTACTGGGGTGACACAAGGAAACCAGATGGCTGAGTCAGGTGGATTGGGTGGCCTGTGGTATAGGGCGGGGGCGGTGAGGGCACCAGGCAGCCTGGCTCTGCCCTGGCAAAAGAGAACCTGCGGATGGAGCCCCCTGTGGAGCTGGAGCTGGTGGCCGTGCTGGACTGCCTGGAAGGTGCTCTGAGGTTCGTGGAGGTCAAGATCATGGGCAGGGTCTCTCTCTGATAGCTGCGGAGCGAGAAGCGGATTGGCTGCTGCGAGGGCTCCTTGGGTCTCAAGCAGGTGCAGCAATAAATAGCCACTAAAGAGCCCAGGATGATGAAGGCAATGAAGATGGAGCCGACAATCAGGAAGGGAACGTAGACAGGCTCTAAAAGGCAAAAACAAACAGACAGATGCTGGGACAAGGGTCTCCCAAACTCTGGGCGACTTAAGGGTGGCCTTGAGGTGGGCAGCTGAGCACTATCACTGTCATCAGCCCAACTTCTCAGGGCTTGTTACTGATAACTTCTAGAGTGCAAACTGTGATGACAGAATATTCTTGCTCCTAGTGGGGAGGAAGGAAACTGGTACTGTAGCCTCTGTTAGCAATTAGCCATCATATTATACCTCTGGAAGTCAGAAAGAACACACTCTATCCTCCTGTTCGTGCACTGGAAGGAGGAAACAGGTGAGTTTTCTTAGTTACTGTAACTCTGTGTTTAAATCTGGGTTTTAGTAGTTTTATCACTGTGGGGCACTTAGGGCTTTGACCCATAACTGAGGCTGAAAAGCTATCTCCCAACCCAGTATCTCTAATCTAAACAAAGAGAACCAGGCCTATTAAATTAGACCCTTAGAATTTTATCAGACTATGGAAGGAACAGTATAAAGAAATGCATAGCGGGCCCCCAATTAACTGCGTCACCTATTGTACCACTAATTGTCACTTCTGGATGTTTCCAGAAACAATTTGGGATGCCTACTCCAGCTGCCACACCTCTGCCTCTCAATTCCCATCCAAACCCTGAGACGGTAGGCTGAACCTTAGATCGTGACGCAGTTCTTGGTATTGGTAGCCCAGACTTTCTGAGGGATGTGACAGCATCCCTCAGACAGAGCAAACCCGTTTCCTTTTCTCTCTACAAGGCAGACATAAAATTTCCCACCCCTGCCTAAGGCATCCCTTGGGCAGTTCTCTAGGTGTCTTCCCTGTATGACTGAGCAACACTTGGATGCAACCTCCAGCTTAGAGATAGAAGAAAACCTGCATTGACTAAGAGGCCCTACCTGTGCCTGGTGCTTTCTTATTATCAGATTCGAGTCCCACTGAGACCCTGTGAGTTGGACATGATAAGCTCTTTTTTCCAGATGTGGAAACATGTGAGTTTTTGACTTTCCCAAAAACACTTAAGCAGCAAGTAACAGGTAACCATCAAACCCCAATATCTGTGGGCTCCTAGGTGTAAGCTCTTCAATGTGCCAGCCATTCTGCCATGTTTAGTAGCACCCTGTGAAAGGCGAGGGGAAAGTGACTACTAATCACTTATTGAGCACCTTGCTAATCATTCATATACTTTCATTTAATCCACAACCTAACTCTGAGAACAATATGCCCATTTTAGAGTTAAGAAGAGTCCCAGAGCAGTTAAGTAACTTGCCCAAGGTTACAGGGGCTGGCAAGAGACAGAGCCACAGTCCATGAGAATTTGCCAGATCCCAAGCCCAGTGACTGAGGAGAGCAGAGTGAGGGAGTCCAGCAAGGCAAGTTCACTGTAGACTGGGCACTTACTCTGTAGAAAGCAACCGGGGTGCCTCAGGGTCAGTGGAGTAAAACCACGGGAAAGA